CATAAGTCACCAGAGCTGCGTCCAGATCTCACCAGAGCTGCGTACAGATCTCGCCAGAGCTGAATAAAGATCTCGCCAGAGCTGTGTACAGATCTCACCAGAGTTGCGTACAGATCTCACCAGAGCTGAATACAGATCTTACCAGGGCTGCGTCCAGATGTCACCAGAGCTGCGTACAGATCTCACAGAGCTGCGTACAGATCTCACCAGGGCTGCGTACAGATATTGTCAAGGCTACATGCCGATCTCACCAGGGCTGCGTAAAGATCTCACCAGAGCTGAATGCAGATCTGCAGAATGCATACAGATCTCACCAGGACTGCATACAGATCTCACCAGGACTGCGTACAGATCTCACCAGGACTGCGTACAGATCTCACCAGGACTGCGTACAGATCTCACCAGGACTGCGTACAGATCTCACCAGAGCTGAATACAGATCTCATCACCTGGCTGTATACGGATCACACCTGGCTATGTTCAAATCTCACCAGGGTTGCGTCCAGATCTCACCAGGCTGCATCTAGATCTTACAAGGGCTGCGTTCAGATCTTACCAGGATTGTGTCCAGATCTCACAAGGCATGCATGTGGGTCTCTCCAGTGCTCTGCGTAAAGGTGCTGGGCTGAAAGGGTGGGTGGTGAGCTGAACGGGGTGGGTGCTGGTCTTTGTGCCGACTCCGGGGCTATATGTGTGGTGTGGGGCTGCCTCGAGCTGTTCCTGCGCCAGGAAGGAAGAGATGTGGGACTGGGCAGGCACTGTCAAAGACAGCTACTGCCAGTTGCCCAGCAGGCTGCCTGAGGTCCCCACAAGTGTGCCAATCCGGTTAAAAAATGTAAAGGGTCGGTATCAGCCTTTAGTATCGGGGAATTTTCACACGTACAAGTACTTGTGAGAATGCCCTGTATCGGCCCCGATACCAATACTAGTCTTGGTATTGGAACATCCCTAACATATATATATTGTCACAATTAGCGCACTGGAGCACCAGGAATAGTAAACTAGGTGCCTGGGACCACCATGGCAGGTGTCAAGATGGAGAGTGGCGGGAGATCAGTGAATATCTGTTTGCTGATCTCCTCTGGCTAGTATGAACCCAGAAGTGCTCAGCTCTGCGCACACCCGGGATTTGCTCTGTCTAACCCTGGTTCCTTTTGGGAAGAAGTTGACTGAGCACAGAATGTGCCTTAACAGATTGCAAATCTGTCTAATGGATTCCTGATGTCTCCTTCAAGAAAGCCTATCGCCTGCACTCTGCTGTCACAAATGGGGCTTTTCATCCCCTTTGAGATAGCAATAAAGTTAAGGTGAAAAAAAACATATAAATGAAAAGAAGAGCATGCGGTGTGCACACTTATGGAAATTATAATAGTGCCACACATTAGAGCAAATGTTGGAGTTAGAGCAAATTCACTGGTAACTGTAAAATCATGACCTGTACATGCTTTTAAAAGACACCTATGGACTATTTTGGGCACTGTAGTTTTTTGTCAATTTTGTGGGAAATTTTGAGACATGACATATTTGGCATCTATTTACTTGATGCAACCCCATCTTATATATTTGACAAAAAAAATGGATATTATGCCATGCTTGGGTACACTAAAAAATGTAAGTGTATTTTTACTGAATGAATATAGATTTGATAAACAGTAGCTCAATGATCATGTGACATAAAAAATTGCACCTGCAGCCTTTTATTCCACAGGGTCCCTGCATTAAGAAAATATACTTTAATGTTATGGGAGGTTCTGAATTTGTTTGTCAATGTCTGGCTGTCATGCTGCCCATCTACCTTAAAGGAGAACTATGAGGTGAGTGATTTTCACTTAACCTCATAGTTCGAGCCGACGCGTGACAATGAAAGTGTCACACGTCGGCTCTATAGATCGGGAAGTGAGCGAATGCATACCATCGCTCGCTCACTTTCCGACTGTTAGTCACCGCTCCCCGCATGGATTCCGACCTCCCCACTCTGATCCTCCAGTGCTGAGTGGAGAAACGGATGGGGGAGGGGGCGGGCACAGCTGGCTCTGCCTCCAGATAGGCAGAGCCAGCTGTCACTCAGGCAGCTGGGTGGATCTTGACAGCATTGTCGGGATCCGTCCTGGCTGTGGCGCTCTCAGTATATTGCTGGCCATATCCCGCTATATACTGAGCATAGGGTCACGGGAGGATGCTAGTATATGTCCTCCCGTGACCCTAAAGAGAACTATGGGGAAAGCTAGGACACTGATCCAAAATGAGTATGCATATTATGGGTACGACTTCCCTGCTTGCCTTATTCCAGGTTGGTTTGCTTTAATCTGTGAACGTGGAGCTGTTGCTGTGCCCTCTTCTATACTCATATGATTACTCCGCAGGAGGATTAAACTAGCTGCTGCCTCTACATTTTTCTCCAAATTCCTCTATTGTGGTAAATCCCCTATTGTGGCTGTGTAGGCAAATTTCTATCTATGCTGCAAGAGCCAGAGCTGCTGGACTCTCCCTGTGAGTTCACTTTCTGCATTGCATTACTGGGATACACAAAGGATGCTACTGTAATGAAATGATTATGAACAGATCAAATAAACAAAATTCATCCACGGAACACTGTCTATGTTCAACTGTTTGTTGAAAGCTCAACTCCAGTAAAAATATATTTTATAATATATACTTTTAAAAGTCCCCCCACTCCTGGCAGTGGAGTTATGCTCTAAGGCTAACACCTGATACCTATGCACACACAATCGCAAGCACCCCACAACTCACCCTATATATGCATTGCATTGCCATTCATTCTGCCCTTGCCTCTACATAGCTAGAAAACAGTTGTATGCATTGAAGCCCACTTAAGACACATTCAGAGTGAAAGGACTGCCTAAAGAGGAACTTTGCCCATATCTTCAAAATAACAACAAAGGCACCTTTAGAAATGTTTAGTAATGACAATCTCTAAACACATACTTCTAGACAATTCCCGCCTTTCTATTCTTTGACAACCTTATTTTTCTTTTCCTCCCTTTTCTTCTCACAGTGGCCATTTTTACTGAGGGCAGATTAATCCATCTCCCTTTACTTCCTGGAACTCTGGCACACGTGACTAAGACATGTGACCATGTACATCATCTCAGTGGAGGAAAATGTCTTTCCCTGAGATCTTGTGATGAGATTTCCCAGCAATGCTCTGCTAACGTAGCCTTCCCAGGATGCAACACTTGGGCACATTACATCACTGTTGCCAAAGCGAACCAGGAAGAAGGAAACAAGAAATTGTAAGTAAAATAAAAATATATTTGTTTAACTAATAAATGTAAGATGATTTCATATCAGCATGCAGAGCTCCATGCTATTGTGATTTTTAGTGAAAGGGGGTAAAGGTACTTCAATAAATGAATGGGTGTGAATGGGGCTAGTTCACACTGCTCCATTGTGTTGTGTTACGTTGAAAAAAAAGTAGAACATGCACTACTTTTTGTCAGCGCAATGTAACACAACGGATTCAGTGTGAACTAGCCCCATTCACACCCATTCAGTTTTGGGTGCCGTTAGCATCTGTTGAAAAAAGAGTCACAACACAATGGATTGGAAGGAAATCAGAAGGTACAACCGCAAGTCAATAAACCCCCCGTTGACGTGGAATTTACTTCCGATTTGGGTGTGAACGGGCCCTAAATATGATATGAGGTCAGAATGCGGTGAACTGTATAACTATGAGTAATGTTAAAAATATAACAACGTAGAAAAGGAATGTGATTTTTGCATGATTCAACCTAAAAAATACACAATTTGAACTCTTCTATGTGGTCACCCCTCAAAATTATTGAGGTCAGGTGTTTTCAGTACTGTTAATATTACAACATGCAAAGAAATTTTAGACAACTGTGCCTTTCCAACCTTGCTGTAAGAGTTTGGTGAAGGCCATTTTCTGTTCTGAATGACTATGTCCCTGTGTTCAAGGCCAGCTCCATAAAGATATAGTTTGACCAGTTTGATATGAAGAAACCCAAGTCACCTGCACAGAGCCCAGACCTCACCCCTACTGAACACCTTTGGGATTCATTGAAACCAGCTTTTCTTGTCCAACATCAGTACCTCACCTCACAAATTGTCATTTGGCTGAATGGGCACAAATTCCCACAGACAGCCTACAAAATTTTGTAGAAAGCCTAACCAGCAGAGTGAAGGCTGGTAAAGTCAAGGTGGGTGGGTGGGGGGAAACTAAATTGTAATGCCCATGGGTTTGAAATGGGAAGTTCAACAAGTGCATATAAGTGTGATGAATAGGTGTCCACAAACCTTTTACCATTCTGTGTCTATTTGGAATGCAAATATAAGTACTACAAGTAATATGCATTATTGTGCATAATGGGGGTATACTGAGTGTATTGGAATGCATGGTGGGATGAGATAAAAATTCAACCTCTGACAGTCTTTTCTATCTTTGGGGGACTCTATTGGTGAGACCTCACCATCCCTGCTGGATTTTTATTCATTTCATATTACAGAAAATGTTACAGGGAAACTAGAACACACAAGGTTGGACAGAAATGCCACAATTCCCATGTGGACAGGAAGAGAGTTGGGAATTATGGTAGGAAGCTCAGTGTTGGAGCATCCAAAAGAAGAAAAAAAAAGCTCTCAGCTCACTAGAAACGTCCACGTCCCTGCCATGACTGACTCTCCCTCACGCATCAATCAGATTAAAACCTGCCATGTAAATTTAAATCTTATCGGCATTATTACATAATTTCTACTTTCAGCAGCAGAGTCACATATTAAACTTTCTTTCATAACCAACCTGTTGTAGGTAGAAATCTACTATCTACAATGCAGGTACTACACTTTAATCCTTTTATTCCCAAGATTCTTGTTGATAGAATATATGACTTCACCTCATGTAGCTACACAGACACTCCTCCTTATTCTCTGTACATACAGCATAGCTTTTAAAACGCATTGCTCTGTGTTTTTGTGGCTCAGCTTCAGCCATGGCAGTCTGTCTTCATCCTACTCTGCTGATGAATGATGGCAACAAGATCCCAGTTATTGGGTTTGGGACATACGCTCCAGAATATGTGAGTACACACAAGCATGCAGAAAATTGGAATGTTTGGGGATTATGGGAATCTAAGCAAGATATGGAAACCCTCTGAGAGTAACCTGATTCTGATCTGCGCTACGCTTTATATGGTAATAAACTGCAACAATCTTTACTGAACAACTGGCAAAAATGTATCAGTAACTAAAGTCCACAAAAGATAAACTAGTCCATGATAGATCAAAACAATTTAAATAGTCCATTAGGAAAGTTCCTATTGCTCTTCAGCTCAGCACATAAGGAGAAGAACGCTCTTATGACTACATAACATACTGTACATAAACATCGCAGAGCTTAACAGCATAGTGTAGTAGATTCTTTAATGTAAGCCAGTAAAAACAAAGTAACACACTTTGTACTCTTGGGGACAATTCACACCAGCTACTGTGCAAAATGCACAGCGGCTGGTGTGCGTTGCCCAACACAGCGCCAACGTGTACTTTCTATACAAAGTGATATTGAATTTAATTCTACGGGCACATCGGGGTGAGAGGTGGTTGCTCTGCGCCGCATCCCGCTGCACTAAAAAAAAAAAAGGACAGCACGCCATACTTTTTTTTCCCCGCATTACCATCGCAACGCAGTGGTGTGAACTGAGCCCCTCTGTGACAAGAAAATTGCTATTTCCAGTGCAGCCCTAAGGCATGTTGTGTGAAGTGACCCTTAGTCTCTATTCACACTTGTGCACACGTATTTTAACCTGTTTTTGTGGTTTGTTTTTCTTGTGGTTTAATGCCGTTCTCATGCCTTTTTATATGTTTTATGTTTTTGTTTTGCCCAATGAAGGTGAAATTAAGTATAATACACTACTGTATAACACACAGGTCACGCTGGGTGTCTGGGTTGCCATGGCTGCGGCGGCTGGCACCAGATGTTTCAGCATGAGGATTCAAGTGTGTTTACCACTCAGACCACCAGGGAATACTTAATACAGCCAAGTTTATAATTCATGCCTCCTTACAGCAGTGTATTATACAGAATTAAATGTGATCTCACACTATCCGCTTAACTTACAAAGCAAACATATCAGGTTAAGGATCCTTATTTTCAAAAAAGTGACAGTTATTTCCTGCAGAGTCCAATGAGATTTGAAAGTGACAGTCACATGGTTAAAATAAAAGCACAGTGCGCAGAAGTTGCCAACTGTCTGCAGAGTCAATAGCTACAGACCTCCAAACTTTGTGTGGCCTTCAGATTGGCACAACAACAGTGCATAGAGAGCTTCATCGAATGGGTTTCCATTGCCGAGCAGCTGCATCCAAGCCTTAAATCACCAAGTGTAATGCAAAGCGTCGATGCAGTGGTGTAAAGCATGGCGCCACTGTACTCTAGAGAAGTGGAGACGTGTTCTCTGGAGTGACGAATCACGCTTCTCTGTCTGGCAAGCCAATGGACTTATTAGGAAGCCAGCCCAGTGCTCAGGAAGTGTTGGAGTTGTGTGTATGTGTGCAGGGAGCACACAGACAAACTCGGGTGCGTGCTGGACGCACACGGAACAGCCAGGGGGGCTGGGAGAGGTCAGGAAGGTCGGTGACCCCAGGGACCTGTCGGACAGACTGCTAAGAGAGCAGAGTGAGGGCTCACGAGGGGAGAGGTCAGAAAGGTCGGTGACCCTAGGACCTGTGGTACAGACTGCTAAGAGAGCAGAGTGAGGGCTCACGAGGGGTGAGCAAGCGTGAGAGTCTTGAAGCTGTGGAAAGCTACCGAGCGAAGCTAAAAGACTGTCTTATGTTGCTGTTGCAAGCTATTTTGTGTTTGCCCTTTCAATAAACTGCATTTTCCTTGACTTACCTGGACTACAGTGGAGTGTTCTTGTTACAAATATATATATATATATATATATATATAACAATAATAAATACATATTTGTATAAAAACGTGTTTGTGGGCTATGCTAGGCTCATATTTGGGACTCGGGTTATACTTTATAAGAGTGTACTAGCTTCCAATTCTTTATTATGGCCACTTTGTGCCAGTGTCTGCAAATGGAAGATCCCTTATGTCTCTTCATGACATAATTTTTTTATATCTTTCATTTTCTATTAGGGATTGGAGCATAGCTTGGATAACAAATATTTTAAGCCCAGATGTGCCACTATTATGAAAGTTTTTAATGTCCTCAGGGGACTTTGAACTTATCACTTCCTTCCTTGATAAATCTCATATGTTCACCTATCCTGGTTCTTAGTATTCTTTTTGTTCTGCCTTCATAAAGTAGGCCACAGGGGCAACATAACCTATATACTACATATGTAGTTGAACATATGATGAAATAATTGATTTCACGTTTCTTCCCTTTTGAAATGCAGAATTGTTTTCCATCCATGGTGGATAAACATGAAACTTTGGGAAGGGGTCACTTGGCAGAACTTTATATGTTTTTTCATCTGCTGTGATAAAATTCATCTTGCTTAGTACTATGCTGCCACCCTTATCAATTCTTTAATAGTTCCTTTCTTATTATTCATTAAGCTGGTTTACCTATAATGATAAATTAAAATGATTAGGTTTTGGTTTACAAAGGGAAATGGAGTCAGAGTGCACCATTTGAGTGCAGGTGTGAATGCCCTCAAAGTTATTTTACTGGGTGAAGGAGTGCTTTAACCTTTTTTTCCATATTTGCAGACTTTAACTCATCAGCAAAAAATCTTGCTAGAATTAAGCCGGGTATACACGGTAATATTTTTAACCTGTGGGCTGAAAAAAGAAAATATCACAGATAAGCATTTTTAATGCGTTTCTAACGTTATTACGTCTACAGGTACATGCCACACACAATCTGATTGTACAGTCTCCTTTAGATCTACTGACAAATAAATTGTACAGGGGTCTGCCTGACTTGATACAAATTGGATACAAAGAAGATTCTACATAGTGTACAATTACACTGTATCATGGGTGGCCATGAATATATTTTTGATGACTGCTGTGAGTGTAGGATGGGTAATGTGCATCAGTGTGGCAAGTGGGCTTGTGAAGAATTGCATAGGAGGGATGTCAGGCTTTGTGCTAACTAATACGTTAGCCTCTATACTGGGATGCCATTAGGAAATACGGGGCCCCATACAGCCTACCTGACAGCATCCCCCTGCATACAGCCTGCTTGGCAGGCCCCCACTCATACAGCCTACCTGGTAAGGCCCCCCTCCCCTCCCCATTAACATACATGGACATGCCCTTCACACACATGTTCATTCAAATCAGATGGCTGGGGTGGCAGGGGTTGGTTTTACATTTTGTTCTATTTTTATTTATTTTATTATTTTTTACATTTTTTATCACCTTTTTTTTTTCTTTTCACTTAACTTTTACTATCAAAAAGGGTATAACAAGCCCCTATGTGACAGCATTTGGAGGTGACAGGTTCTCTTTATGTAAAACAGCAAAACGTTTCCAGGCACACTCACCAGCCAGCATGCAAAAAAACCTGTCTAACCACTAAGGTTAAAAGCAGAGGTTCTCTTTATGGAGACATCAGGGGTCTATTAGATTCCTGATGTCTCTCCTGCTCTCCAATACAGGCGATCAAGCACAGGATTGTGCTTGATTATCTTCAGTGTACTTGAAAAGCTGTGAAGGCACCACAGGGAATTCTTGTTGTGGGAAGCTGTGTGGGCAACACCTGCCAGGCCCCCACTTCCATCCTTATAGGGGCCCTATACAGAAGGTTGGCTGTAACCCCCTATCAGAGGCCCTGAATGTGTATGTCCAGCATACTTTTTTTTTCTAGTTTTTGAATGGGGAAGGACTGGAACCCTTGTTGGGGTTTTTATTCCTATCTGGGGCTCTGTTAGAGAGATATCCCCTCACGTCCTGCCCTGCTGACGACGGTTTACCAGTCAAGAATTAAGGGGAACTTTCCAATAACAACATAGACAGAAATAAAATGTATTTTCTTTAGTAGAGTAGGGAAAGCTTAGAACTCCTGTCAGATTTATATTATGTAGTCTTGTGAAATCGAGATTGTATCACATAAACAATTTTACAAATTGTCAGTGAATGGAGGTAAAATGTATTTAACACCAATCAACTTGTAGTGATACTCACTGGCACTGTATACACGGCTGCTTGCGCTCTAGATCCCGGTTTCCCTCAGTGAAGAAGCCACTGAAGTTGCCATCGAGGTTGGCTTCCGCCACATTGATGGAGCACACTTCTATCAGAATGAGAAAGAGGTGGGTCGTGCCATCCAGAAGAAGATCGCTGATGGGACTGTAAAAAGGGAAGATCTCTTTTATACAGGAAAGGTGAGGACGTTCTTCTTTGGCTTACTGGGCAATGTTGGTCTCCTGGGTCCAATGAATGGTAGATACAATGCAGGGAATTTATCAAAACTGGAGCAGGCAGAATCTGGAACAGCTGCCCATGGCAACCAATCAGCTGCCATCTTTCATTTTCAAAGTGTAACTAAACAAACTGAACATAGAAGTTGATTGGTTACTATTGGCGACTGCTCCAGAGTCTGCCTCCTCCAGTTTTGATAAATTCCACCCAATGTCTACATGGGGCTTGTATCTTCTTACTATGTTTCTTTCATGCTTTTTTCTATATGAAATATTTTTTTCGATTTCTCTCTAAATTATACTGGTAGATTAATTAGCATTTACCCAAACTGGCCTTCCTATTTGTGTCTGTATAACTGTGGTGGGACGTGTAGCTTCTAATCTGTCCTGGGGAAGGGGGGGAGTCTGATGTAAATCCCTGCAAACCAAAGCTCAGAGAGAGGGAGGAAAAAGCAGAACAAGAAGCCAGACACTTCATGTGCTCAAAATAAGCATAGGAGAAGAGGGCACAGTGACAGAGGTGAGATAATCAGTCTTTACTGCCCAGTCACAGTCTGGGGGTGGGGAGGAGACCTGTAAATATGACTTACGTATACATTAAAAATGATAGGATTAGCTAAGATCTGGAGAAGGAAAACAAACTTTCAAAACATTTTGGTTTTAAAAAGTGGTGAAACTTTATAAATCAATATAAAAGGAAGTAAATAGTCAGTTTTAAAACAGGAAAATGATAAAATTTACCCCTTTACAACTAGACCCCTTAACGTTGCACCACACTATATTCTGGGGGGGCCTAGGTTTAGCCTGCACTCTATGCACTCTAGCCAAAACTCCACCCTTCTAACTTGCAGCACCATTATTGAATGTATAAACAGCCACTATATGATGCAGCAAGTCCACTAAATAGTAAAAAGTGCTAATTTTTGTACTGCTATTCTTCTCTTCAGACCACTTTCAGGGCGGTTCACACCAGCTCCAGTGCGTTCCAGCACAATTCCTGCATTCAGGGGAGGGAGGGGGCATGGCGGTGCGTTGAAGTCAATGACACCGCAGCCACGTCTTCCACCTGCAGTGTGATCGCCCGCACCAGAACACGTGGCACATTAGTGCCTGCTTTCCGGTCCAGTGCGATCTGAAAAAATGCATTCACTATTTTTTCAGATCGCACTGGACCGGAGCACAGGCACCTCCCGCCCCTAAACGCAGGATGCCGGCAGGGGGGCACTCCAGTGAGTTCCAGCAGTGAATTGTGCAGGAACGCACCAGAGCTGGTGTGAACTGGCCCCAAAGCTGATTTCTAGGCAGATATAAAAAGACACAAATTAATCCAGCTCTGTAATCGTTTTTTAAATACCAGCAGTGTACCCACATTTGACCTGGTGTCACCCTTTTACAGTCCCTCTACAACAGAGCTCAGACAGAGAGGCAGAATCAGCACAAGGAACCAATCATTTCATGTGCTGACTAGAAGCATGCTGATAGGAGGAGAGTGTAGAGTGACAGAGAGATGAGCACATCACTGTGCTGCTTCTTCTTTCATTATATACTCACAGGCTAGGTTTAGAGAATATGGGAGGAATGATTCTGGCCATCAGGCTGAGGACATCATGTGGCAGAATAACTGTGTGTGAAGGGGGGGCATCTCTGGATCTAGGGTGAATCCTGCACCAAAAGCTGTTCTTTTATTAAATTTTTTAATGGGTTATTATTTTTATCTTCTGAATATGCGATCTGGTGCACAGAGTGAATAAAATTAAGCTTTGCTTTAACTTTTCAGTTATGGCCAACGTATCACTCACTGGAGCTGGCAGAACTTAATGTGACACAATCCCTGGAAACCCTTCAACTGGATTATATGGACCTCTTCCTCATCCACAGGCCCTTATCACTTAAGGTAAGTATCCGCATTCATCATATGACCGCGTACATGCTGCTCTTTTATGGTTATATTTCTAGCTGTACCCCTGTGATTTGGATCAGGCCCAGCTTGCTTCTGTGGCAACTGCTATCATTACACATTGCATGTAAGTGTTGATCATCCTGATTCATCCCAGCCGGCTCAATTATCTCTAGCTGACTATGACTTACATATTTTTAATGTGTCCCCCAAGGTGAGTCCAAGGTTTTTTAGCTACCTATAAATATAAAACAGGAACTATGTCTTAAAGAACAAGCAATTGTTGCACTTGTATGCCTAGAAGCCCAACTGCTACATTTTCTGATATTCAAAATGTGTTCCTCAACCTGCTACGAAGTTGGAAATTTAAAGTGTCACTAAACTCAGGAGTTAAATCTTAAAAATGCATTCAAGTACCTCAAGTAATAATAAAAATAAGGGATGCGCCGAAATTTCGGCCACCGAAACATATCGACCGAAAATGGCACTTTTGGCAAAATGCCGAAAGTGCCATCTTTTGACCGAAATAGCGGTGCATCTATTCTTTCTCTCCTCCCTGCTAGGCACTGCTCTGTGTCCCAGCAGGGAGGATAGAAACTGTCACAGGAGGCCGAGCGGTGTGGGTGGAGAGACCTGTGAGCACCGCTCAGCCTCATGTGACAGATCAGGAGAGCGGTGGTCACAGGAGACAGCTGTCACAGGAGGCCAGGCCGGCTGCGAGTGACAGCGAGTCAGGATGGAGAGCGGATACAAGCAGTCAGTGATCAGTGATACTTAACATGTTTAGGACTGCCAGAAAGCAGATCGAAAAAAAGATGTGGCCTTCAAAGACCTGCAACCTTGTTTTTGGAAATTTTGTTGATGTTGAAGTATATACAGTGGCGTCACAAGGAGTTGCGGAGGGTGCGGCTCGCACCCGGGTGACACCATTGGAGGGGTGACACCAAAATGACTGACAGTCACCCCCCTCTGAAAAGCCGACAGTATCAGGAGAGGTATCGGCATACCTTATCCCGCCGGGTGACTGTCCCCTCCTCTCTCTGCCGGCGTCCATCACCAAGATGGGCACCGACAGGTATCAGAAGACTGATCCCCGTGCGCAATGACGTCATCGCGCACGCACGTGGTGATGTCACGTGCATGCCCGGTGACGTCTCGGCGGGGTTACACTCGGTTACCGCTCCGGGTGTCACCCAGCCTCGGGACGCCCCTGAGTATATATATATTATAAAATTTGACAAATTGTTTTCGTTCTATAGCCCGGAGGAGATCTGCTCCCCATGGACGAAAATGGAAAACTTCAACTCGATACCACAACAGACCTGTGGACTATATGGGAGGTAGGCGCTTCATTGTCTTGGCTAGAATAATATTAATTGGTAACAGATATTGAATTCAATACAAAATGCTCTTTTTAGTTTATTCACAAAAACGTTCCACACCACACCTGGGGATTCCTCAGCAAGCCCCAGCCCTATTGAGGAAGCCCCAGGTGTGGGGAGGAAACGCGGCAAGGGTTACGTGTGGAAAGCTTCCCTGGATTCTCTGGACATATGAGATACTCACATTTGTTTGCTCATCCCCTATACAAGCCCAGTTAGGAACGAACATCCTGCCTACTGCCTGCCGGCTTGTGAAATAGAGGTGACGGAGCACAACTGACTGTGATATGGTTTCGATTGGATGGCTACTAAAATCATGCCTTTGCTTTGAAGGTTAGCGGGTGGCTTCCCGCGCCTTACGGGTAAACTCCCGTCTCCAATCTTGCCAGGCGCATCTTACCGTGGAGTGTCAAGTAGTCTTTCTCTCTTTTTGCACAGTGCGGCCGCACACGAAAGACCAAAATCTTAGAAGAAGCTTTCATTTCAGTCACTGAAACCCACGGAGTATCTTGTGCCTTTGGAAAGTGCTGGGAGAGGGGCATCCGCAGCTCCTGCCTGTATTGAGGAGCTACATTCTTTGCCAGTAATATCGTCTTATACTGGACACCTCTCCCGAAGTCTTTCTTCCATCTTTACACACAGGACTCTAGCATGTTCGTTTTCCCTCTAGCTTTTTGAACTGCAACATATGTGAGTACATTCTCTGATACATTGTTTCTTTTGAAAAGTACTTCAATCATCCAGAAACCTGCATAGATGGTCCTTTACCACACAGGTGGTTTTTAGGCAACAATTGTTATAATCATGCAGGATATATCCAGTGGAATGTTTTAAGTGTTTTTAAATGTCTCTGGTACATGAGTTTATTGTATATGTCTTTTTCTACTATTAAATATTGTATCAATAATTCTGATTTACCTGTTTTGAACCAATCTTTGTAGTAGGGATTTCTAATTTTTGGGGGAACGTTTTTGTGAATAGTTGTTTGAAACCCTGTAGATTGGTATATTAGTTTATACACTAGCGTAACTCCTCCCCCCTTTTTGTTGCATCTTTTTAGTTTATGCAATCTCACAAACAGGATGAAATATGTCTCTGTGTATTATATTACATTTCCAAATGAAGGCAAACAGATAAATTGATACGTCATTAAAATGTATATATAGGGACCACTTTTCCTGTAAGATGAATCTTAAGATATTGTACATAACTATGTGATCCCCCATTATGTGTTTATTATGCTGTTCCTTATTATGACAGTTCTCTGTTTCTTAAAGTAGACCTTTCTGTAAATTTACAAGTTCATATGAATACATTTCTGACAGGTTACACATACAAGAACATATGTTTTCAGAAAATCTTCATCTCTGCGGTTCCGTGACTTTGCCTAGGTTTAGATTATGACATCAGTCTGCTGCAGGCAGGAGGAAGCATTTCCTCAGCCTCCTCTCCCCCAGTGATTAGACTACAACATTGTCATTTCACCACTATGCTTCTACCACCTACAGGCCATGGAGAAGTGTAAAGACGCTGGGCTGGTAAAATCCATTGGAGTCTCCAACTTTAACCGTCGGCAGCTGGAGAAGATTCTCAACAAGCCTGGACTGAAGTATAAGCCAGGGTGCAACCAGGTAACTAACAGTTATATTATTAAAAGTCATGATTATATCCAAAATGTTACTAACACTGCAGTATATTTATATCACTACATGTCTATATATATTAAAACTTTTGCACTTGTGTAAAATGTTTTTCTTTGAGTCCATTGGGGAACACAGCAATTCAGATAGATGCGGGGTATACTGCAGCCTACAGCAGGTTTGGACACTGGTGAACAGAAAAATTGTAAGCCAGCCTCTTTATAATCCCTCCTCTATCTTGCATTGGCAAAACAAAAAGACACAGAAGAGTGGGACCTGTGTCCCTCAATAGATTACAAGTACAAAAATCCCTTTTTCTTTTACGTCTATTAAGGGACATAACATAGGAATTCAAATACAGTCAGGATGTCATAAAGCAGTCTACCTGAGAGGCAGGCAACAGTCACTGACAGGCCTTCAAGAAGGAGCTAGAAAGGTCGGTAAGTCAGAACCAACTAAAGAACCAATTCCTGAATCTGGACCAGAGGAGGAGAAGCCCCCTGTAAGAAAGAGGAAGCTGCTAACCACCAAGGGGTGGCAACAAAGGAACACCGAGTCTGATCCAGCAAGAGGTGTTAAACCAACAACCCATCAAAACAGGTGGAACAACATAACTACCTGACTATGAAAGAAACAGTCCACAACACGATGGGGGTCAATAGAAAAATACACTGGGGTAAGCCTCTGGGAGTAAAGGCCCCATAGGGAACCTTAGACAAAACCAGTTATGCAAGATCAGCGGTTATATACACTTCCCACCCTTAAGAGAGAAGGAAGGAAGTTTCCATAATAAGGAGGAAGCCAAACAACCGATTCTCGCTAAAACAATTTCAAATAATGCTAGAATCATTACAGCGGAATAACCCATAGGAGTTGCATAGTGATCCCTGAGACTGGTAGAGAAACCAATGGTATGAGCAAGTCATCTAGACTATAGGGGATGGGGTGCATAAGAGGCACCCCCACAACATAGGCCACAAGCCCAGACTCGTAAAAAGGTGCAACAGCAGAAAAAATAGGGTGAACCAAATTTATACTCTTAGCCCCTGGAAGTGTCTCTGATAAAATAGCTCTGCAGGGCCTGCCTAACCCTGAGCAAAGAATCTGCTGATCCACCTCAGACCAATGAATCATCCATAGCCATGAAGAAGGAAACTAAGCTGGTATCTGTGAAACCTTCCTCACAAGGCTGAAGAACAGCCACAGAAGGAGCACCTACATCCAGGCAATCAGGTCCCATGACATCCTCAAGCAGGGAGAGAGCCTTCCAGAGATAGTTTCTGCCTGTCACACCGAAGATGAAGAGCGCCCAGGTGCATAGACCTCACCCAGTGCAGACACTTCCAGGTAAGGATAGTAAGATTGAAAGGCATTGCGGGGAATGTGCTTCTGAGAGTAGAACCTTTGCAGTCATCCAGTGTAAAGACCAGGAGGTTTATCCTGTAGCTGAAAGGACTTCCATTTCTTCCCAGAGGAGTAGACATAGCAACACCTAGGTACGGTCCAATCTAGGAGTCTAATCTAGGACGGTCAAGGCAGGGTTCCTCAAGGAAGAGGAAATAATCTCTTCAGAGAGCCAGACGAGTCCTGGGAATGGAGGCAACCCAGCAAGTGGGACCTCCCTGGGGCAGGGGGAAAGAGACCACCCCGCTTACCTGGAGAGATTGATGAGTTATGCCAAGGGACTATGTGATCCATAGAAACAATGTGGCTAAACATCCAGATGCAGGGTAGTATGTACTACATCAATAAGGTCTGTCACAATTAACTGTAAATCTGAGGTGACTGCAGGAGACTCCAGTGCCTTAAAAACAGTCCCTTCAAAAGGTAGACTGCTGGGACTCTGAGTCAGAGATGGTAACAGGGCCCATATAGACAGTCTGATCTAGGGGCCCCGGGAGGGTCAGAGGATGACTCTGCAGGACATGGTGCCAGAACGTTTAGAACCTCTGCAGGCACAATGCCCTGTGGGCTGAGCACAGCCAGTTATAAAATCCCAAGTGGACATAAAGGTGACAAGGAGAGGACATGGCCAACAGACCTGAGGAAGACTCTGATGATGATAGCTCTATGCCAATAGGAGTCTCAGGTTCTATTTACAGTCAGGTTCTTTCTGGTGATACAGGGTAAATGCCTCCAGAACCACTAGAAGTATAGGCCTCTAGTAGAGGTCATCTGTAGCAGCTAGACTGTCCTTTTTGTGTCTTAGTGAACACAAGATGGATAACAATAGCACTTAACCTTCAGCACTTAACCTTCAGCACTTAACCTTCAGCACTTAACCCTCACTGTGGTAAACCGACTACAGAGGAAAATTTAAATAGGCACTTAGCTCTGGACCTGCAAAGCACTCAACAACTAATTAAGACAGTTAGGTCTGGAAAGCTAAACAATGCAGAGCCCAGTACCCAAAGGTCACATTGCTGGCTAGCATGTCCAGTTGGGTCCAGCTACAACCTTTAAAGGCAGACTGAGAAAACACCAATCCAGATATTGGCTATATAGGAAAAAATCCATAAAGAAGACACAAACAGCAACAGAGCTGAGGAAAAGGCTAAGGAAAAGGCTTGCAACCTCGTAGGACACTAGTAAAAAAGCTGAGGCATGCTAGGTAGAAGAGTGGTTATACGGAGGCTGGCTTACAATGTTTCTGTTTGCCAAGGTCCAACCCTCCTGAAGGTTGCAGTATAACCTTACTGTTTATAAATTCCTGTGTCCCACAGTGCATGATAAAGAAATATATACTTTAAAACTCTAGGGCTTGAACCAATTGCAACCAATTGAGATCCTAGGGCAGCACAGTGGCGTAGTGGTTAGAGCTTTTGCCTTTCTGCACTGCGTAAAGCGCTGTGTAAAATTGTTGGTGCTATATACTGTAAATACCAGTAATAAATAAATAAATCCTCAAATTTTCAACTCAGGTGGAAGCTATTTAGGTAATGTTAGCCATTAGAAATGTTCTTGCTTCAGGATCTCCCTGTGTCATACTGTGCAATTCCAAGTACATTGCTCCAGGTTTTTTTTTTTAATTGCCTGCTACCTTTTCCCTGAAGGAATTTAGAGGCCAAATGTTGGCCCAGTTCTTACTCTTTTCTTCTTACAGGTAGTCTTACTGTTTCTCATCCACCTAAAAATGTAAAAAATGTAGAAGATTTTAATAGAAACATCCTTTTAAATTGAAAATTAGGCTTTAAGTGATGCCCTCTCATTCTTTTGCAGATTGAAAGCCACCCATACCTGAATCAGAGCAAAATGTTGGAGTTCTGCAAGGCACATGATGTCCTGCTGGTTGCATACAGTGCCCTGGGCTCACACAGACACAAGTATTGGTATGACATGGGGGAAGTGGGTGCCTTAGATGTTCGTGGTCACATTATCCTGTCTCCGAAGGAGCTTACCCTCGCTACCAAAGCTGTCAATACACAAACGGGTGGACAAGTTGGAGGGTGACAAGATAGTGGTGTGTGGAGCATGCTGCATCAAGAAGTGGCCTGCTACACACAGGAGCTGATGTCAGTGCTCCTGATATAGTGCTTTAACATTTCCCAGAAACTCTGAAGCAACACCCGGCCATTGCAGGAGTAAAAGAGGCTCCAGGCCCAGCTGTGCAAGCCAACCACAGTGCCTGAGGCTGGAGCCTCTCTTGCCTTTCCACAGGAATCTATGGGAGATGTAGAGCATCTTCTGAGGCTCCGGTAGCTTTGTTTAAAACACTGGGAGAGGACCTTCAAAAATCTGTGTCTCCCGAAATTCTTGGAAGATTCAACACTACTGGAGCATGGGATTGGAAACAAGTAGTGCCTGGTGGTATGCAGGAAGGCCAGGAGATGCCAGGAACAGAAGAGAGGAGGGCAGTAAGTTCTTGGTAATCAAACATGTGGAAAGCAGGAAGTTCAATGGGAGGAAAGTGTAGATGGGCTCACAGGAGGGGGACAGAGCTGTGTAGAGAACTAAGTAACTTGAGTCTTCTTCTCCTGCACTGTGTATCCTAGCTGAGCTAGCCAAAATGTAAATGTCCCATTAATACAATTGGAACACCTACTAGTCTGTGTAAGCTGGGCTGCCAGTCATCATGGCATAGTGGATGGGCTGGGCACAAACACAACAGCAGGTCCTGACCTGCTTGCTAGCTGCCCTGTTGGGTAAAACTATTTATTGTTATTATGAGGTGTGACTTTGGGGTGGTTAGCACAAATGGTGAGCGCTTAAGGAACAGTCTTGAAGCCATTTTAAAACATAAACAGGACAGTCTTTTATTTCATTCAGCAACAGAAAACAAAGCTTCAACGATAATACAAGGTCTGCTTGTATTTCAGCAAAACTGAAGGTACGACTATCTCACCACTCCAGGTTGTTGCACATACTCCTTGTGTCCCAGTCTCTGGACATTAGGGTATTTCTTAACAGAGCCACAGTCCACCTCTCGTAGCACTCTTAAACACATCCCTCATGTGTCACTGGCTCTCTGTCTCCTCGGCTGTCTTCGAGGTGCCTCCAGCACACACAGCCACCTCTTCCCAGCTGGAGCCCAGAGCACTAGCCAGCACCCTTCCCATAAGTGCTGTGCACAGGTGTGCAATTAAGTGCTGGTCACTATTAAACAATGGACCCAGGAATGGAGATTTCATCACTCCCAATTCTCTTTGAAATCTCCAAGTTCCAGGATCCCATGCCAAATCCAGGTTTTCTAGGAAGAGAACTGAAAAGCCAGTTCTTTCCCAGCAAAATAATTTGTTTCCTGGAACTGCTCAGCCCCTCTGCCTGAGAGTCCTGGGTGACTACAACCCCCAGTTCTACCGTGGGATTGCCACACAACACCACAGAGGTCAGAAGCTCCACATTTTAAAATAGAAATCGGATTTTACATTAAAACAGAGTACTCATTTAAAGTGTATCTACAGCCAAAACTAATTTATTTCTCCAGTTTTTTGGTAGAGTAGATGGGGTTAAAACTTTTGACATGTTTTGCCATAATTGTATTGCTTTCCGTGAAGTGTTGGGGGGATTTAATTTCACTTCCTATCTCAGTAACAATGTCTGGCCAGGGCATTAAGTAATGGGGAACCTCCAGATGTACACAGACAGCAATAACGTAGAAACTAGAGTAGCGTAAAAGAAACTAGAACCCTATATGCTGTTCTTTGCTTTCTGGTCCCCATTGGGAATTCTTGCCACACATCCTGTTTTGGGGGCATCTTGTTTTTTGGGTTGTGCATGGTTTGGCTTTGTGGTACCCTGTTATTTGAATGTGCAACTTGACTGGAGGCGGTCAGCTGATCTTTTTACCTGTTGGCTATTATGTTTATATATACATTTACTGTGGATCTTGATGTTGTTCTTTCTGTCCCCTTGATAAGGGAAGCCTCCAAGTCCTCCAAATGTTGGTTTTTATTTTGATATATGACATAAATTAATTTTGGATCTGTAGTTCATCTTGGTGTGCAAACCTTTTCTGCATCCTGGACTTTTGCAGCTCACCATTTAGCCATGCACCGACCCTCATCTATGGTTTGTAAGAAGTCTGTGCAGTATGGTTTGATGTACTTCATGCCAAATAATTTAAAATAATTTTTTTTTAAGTTTTGGCTAAAGTGTGGAAAGGTAAGAATCTTTGGCAGGGTTTATTTTAAATAAACCCTGACAAAGATTCTTACCTTTCCTCACTTTAGCCAAAACTTAAAAAAAAAAGTTTTCTTGGCTGGAGTTACATATTTATTTAAAGGTTTCCTCAAAGTTGTTTTTCTATTATAATTTTTTTTGTATTTAGGGTGGATCAGAGCTCTCCATTACTTCTGGAAGATTTGGTCTTAGCTGAAATAGGCAAGAAGTACAATAAGACACCTGCGAACATCGCTATTCGCTACCAGATCCAGCGTGGAGTGGTGGCCATCACCAAAAGTTATAACCCGGACAGAATTAAGGAAAACTTCAAGGTTAATTTTGCACTCCTTCATGTGTTTTGGCAAAGGACATATTTATACATTCTGAGTTGTTATTGCAGCATTGTTCAATCGACTCTTCCCAAAAAATTAACTCCCTTTAGAGCTGCTGGAGCATCTTCTGCATCCAACACTTCCGTTTGTGTTGGATGCCTGGTCCCTTTCTGAGTGCTGTATTACTTTCTGCCAGCCCAAACGTCACTACCTATCCTATAGTGAAGTAGAAGTCAACAGAAGGAACCAAAGCTCATAAAAGGGACCATATTTTGGACATTCCAGGAAGTGCTGGATGCAGAAGATTCTTCAGATTTCTCTTCAAAGCATTTCTATTACAGGCAATGAAATGTTTAGTATTTTTTAAAGTCTTTCCCCCATCCCTGCCTTCCACACCTGCCTGCTTTCCTTTAATATGATGGTTAGGCTCACTGAATAATAGGGAGACTCAGAAGGTGGGAATGACTGTACCAAACTCAAATTCTCTAGTTTTTATCTCTGGATCCACAGGCCATTTTGGCATGTACTTTTCATTGAAGGTAACATTTTCTTTTGTATGTACTGATTGCTCAGTTTGTATTGCACAGGCTTGTAAAAAGAATTTATCTTAAACTTTATTCTTCAAAAATGTAATCAACGTGAATCTGTACTTTACCCATTCAGGGAAAGTAACTGGTTCATTTGATATCCCACGTCTTTGGTTGCACATGCACTGCATTGTAGGATGAAGGGTATTTCATGAGGCTCTAGTCAGTGAATAGGGTGGTGGGACAATCTGGGAGATGTTAACATAAACATCAGGGGAGGGCCTATGAAGCAAACCTGTTAATTTGTTCGATATGAAAAAAGCACAGGTTTCCTTTAACATCCAATATTCTAAAAAAAAATGGGCAGTTTCTAGCTTCGTCTCCCTCATCTTTGCCTGGTTCAAGCCCACGACTGGTCTTCGATTCACAAAATCATCTGCATTTTATTTCATGTGAACTATGAAGAATTATTTACTGAAGAAAACTTTTACTATTTTCAGGTCTTTGACTTTGAGCTGACACCTGAAGACATGAAAACTATTGACGGGATAAACAGAGACTTTCTTTATGTGGATATTCCGCTGTATGTTTCCATATGGAGTGTTTACACTGTTTTTAAGGGCTTGCTCTTTAGTGACTTTTATTTTGAATTAAACCCATCTAATGGTGAGATCTGGTATTGTAAGAGGCCCATATAGATGGTATTACCCAATTTCACCCAAGATTTTTTTAAAAATTCACAAAAAATTGATTCAGCAAATTTTTGAACCTTGGGTGAATGTTGTGTAAATCTCAAGTGGAAACATTCTTAAATAGATCCATATATGGATAAAGGTTTGTTGACACCTGACCATCACATGATAAGTTTGTTGAACAACCCATTTTAGAGCCATGGGCATTAATATGGAGTTGCCCTCCCCTTTGTGGCTGCAACAGCCTTCTTTCTTCCAGGAAAGCTTTCCACAAGGTATTGGAGAGAGGCTGTAACAGCAAACCATCTAATTACTAATGTCCCGATATATGAAAACATCCATTAACCATCCTTCTCAAAAATGCATTTCATGTTTTTATGAATCCAGTTCCAGGTGCTACACCATCCCTGGAGATCCAGGTGAGTATATCTTCAGTATTCCAGCCCCAAGACCAAAATGAGCAGTTAACCCTTGCAGTGCAGGGGGGTTGCACCACTGCAAGGGTTAATTTTGTTAATAGCTTGAGTTCCTCTTTGATCTAAAGTAAATGCATAAAACATGCTTGATTTTAAACAAATGTCAATCCTATCTATTTTAAAAAGAAAAGGTTTGTGGAATCCGATGCCCCCAACTATCTGGCACATGTAGAAGAATTGACAAAAATTTGGAGTGGTGTGTGGCCATTCCTCTTTCAAAGGATGTTTTATTGGTCATTGTGAGCTGGCAAAGCACAGCCGGTTTTGATTAATTTCCAAAGGCCTTTTAGTCACATAAGCAAGTTAAGTTGAATTGTGGTGCTTACACAGGGCCAGTTGATATGTCTTGCATGGGAAAAATCACAGATTGCTATAAAGCTAAACTCCAGGCTTACCTGTATTTTCCTCCACACTTGTAGCAAGTCCTCCTCTCTGTTGAAACTGAATACTCCCAACTCCCTGTAAATGTGCATCTTTACAATATAACCATTCGAAAAAAATCCAAGGCAGAATTCTGTAATTTTTACAGGTGCCTGGTGGCAAAGAGCAGACAGACCTAGTGATATCACTGGGTCTTAAAACAGGGGTTTCTTGAAAATCAAAATTATTTGAGCAAAAATGTTTAAGTGCATATTGTTTAGGGGGAACAAGGGAAGGTATTATATGTTTACACTATGCTTTAGGACATTTTAGGCTCAAACATAAAATTATTATGTTTTCTAGTTTGCATTTTATCAGAACTCCCTATTTGCAATTTTGTCTAGTTTCCCAAAGCAGAATATGCAAATTTGCTGATTTCCTTAACCAGACACTAATAATATTTTTTTTATCTGTACCCGTCCTGCTTTAAGATCAATGGGAGTCGGTGGGAACATTTTCTAAACAACAGATTTATGTTCTGCTTGCCTCCACTGTGTTATGATGATATGATAACTCTGCTGGTGGTTAGATTTTCGTCCCATGAACTAGAAAATGTCTGCACAGCGTTGGGTTCAGACTTCAATCATTGCATTCTTGTGGCAGCGGTGGGATTTGAGTTCTAAAAAAATAAAAAGAGCTGTAAATTGCTTAGGAGGGGGAAACCGAGGTGGGGGTGACCAATGATGATATTTGTTCAACTGGCTATTCTGTCCCTTCTATACGTTGTCCTGTGGTCTGTGTGTAGCTGAACATGCAGCTAAACCCTCCTATTCTGCAATAAGCCAGACCGGGTAAAATCTCAATGCTTTCTTAACAAAACAGGGTGGGGTGAAACTGGTAAAAAACATAGAAACATACAGTCAGTATACAGAACATGTAAACATAGCCTCAGCTTTATGTCGTACAATAATTGCCCAAATGTTTATCAAAACCATATTTTTAGGAAAAAAATGCTTAAATGAAGTTTAGTGCACACAAACACAATGTAATAACCCTTTTCTAGTAAAATATAAAAGAAGGGGTTACATTGAGTAAATAAAAACTATTCATGTCAAGCTTTAAAATTGCGTGCGCCCGTGTAATGTGCACAATTTCATTTGCATGCAGAGGGAGGGGTTGCATATGGAAGTGCTCAATTAAACGCATACTTTTTTGAACCTTTGTATTGTAACCCTGTTTAAAAATTCTTTAATACGAATATTGTAAAAAAAAAAGTGAATCGAAAAATGGAACTAAGGTGCAGCAGCAACCATGATCTTGGTATATCTACTTCAGGATCAGGCCATATATATATACATACAGCGGTCCTGAAGTAGTTAAAGAAACAGTTAAAAAACAGTCTTGAAACTGCTATAAGCAAGATATTTTCCTTCAGCTCCATCCAGTGGCAGGGATGTAAGCGTATTATTTCTACACGCCGCAGGCAGAACACTGGCCATAGTATAACTTTAAGCTTTTATTTAAATATTTAAAGACCTCAATACATTCCCAAATGAGTAACCTCATCCCACAAGCTGACCCTGCACACAGTACAATCCCTTTGTTCAACAGCTAAGTAATGTGAAGTTCTACTTGACTGCATGACTTGCTCACAATTCTTTTATCTCTCTTCACAGATTTGCTGCTCATCCGGAGTACCCCCTGCATGATGAATATTAAGGGAAATTTTGACAAGTAATATCTATGTCTCTAGACAAGATCTGCAGGTCACTTTTAAAGCCAATATGACCAGAAATACTGCTATGTCTACATTGGCACTTTATAAAGCCTTTGTAGTTGATGGGGTGTTTATGTTTGTCCAATTAGGATATATATACTATATGCATGTCTCTGATACACTGTAATAAAAGTTAACAGAAAAATTGTTTTGTTTATTTAATAGAAATGTCATAATAGGTAGTTACAGTCGTAGTTGAAGCCCAGTTTCAGGCACAATCCATTTCATGCCATTTTTAATGCCTTATGGCCCCTTATTAGACCGAAACGGACTATTTTCCAACCTTTTAAAAAAAATTTAATTTAATTTTTTTACTTTTCTGTTGGCGGTGCAGTTGTTGGCATGTTGGGTCATCAGTGTGTTTATTTTTAGAGTTGTATTGTGGCAAATCCAGATTATGAATTGGAGCCGGAAGGGACTCAAGAGCATAAAACTTGACAGTCAGAAGATTACCTTTTCCTGCCAGCACTAATCATCACAATGTGAGCCATCTGCCATCTCATTAGAAACTTGAACATTTTTATGATTTTCAGACTCCGTTGAGGCTCTTTCTCTAGATTACTCATATATAAAAATGTAAACCAATGTACAATAACTTAGAAGAACTGCTAAGGAATAGTACAAATGTCTCACTATGGTCATAATTAATCAGCAGCATTAAGTTTATTTATAAAGGCGGCGTGGCCTTCTGTATCGTAATAGCTACTTATGTTGACCTTTCAAAAACTTACGTTTGTCTGTATAATTTTCTGGCATGTTAAAATATATACGGCAACAGAATGATTTTTCAGTAAATCTCAACATTTTTATGATTACAAAGTCAACCTTGAGCTCTGTTCAGTGACTGCACCTAAGCTGAGATAATGGGGTTGATTAGCATTGAAATAAGGGATCGAATTATGAAAGTCAGCTGTCCCAGTTCAAGAAGTAGATGGTGACCCTGGATGACGTCTGAACAAATATAGCACCATCCTTCTAGACAGAAGAGCAGATGAAGGTATTGTCAGGGGCAGTGGCGTAACCAGAGTTATGGGCGCCCGGGGCAGAACATTTCCCCCCCCCCATATTATATAAACATCCACTGGAACTGTACCCCCCACCCCACACATATATATCAGCTAAGGAACTACAAGTCCAAGCATGCCATCATTGTCCATGTACACCCCCCCACACACACACATATCACCCAGGGAACGGCAATATCTGGTTGTTGTACAGGGGCAATGAGGGCATGCTGGGACTTGTAGTTCCCTAGCTGATATCTTATGAAGCTGTATTCCACCTGAAAGTACTACAATTACATTATAGAACTAAGAATAGAACATAAAATAAAAAATTTTTTTTCTATTTGCATCTTCTCAGAAGCTGTGTGCAGCTTCTGAGAAGATAAGCTATTAGCATAGCGGGGAAGGCGGCTGCGCATTTTGCATAGCTCCCGCTACTCTAATAGCATATCTTCTCAGAAGCTTCCCTGGTTGTGGGGGGGGGTCTGCCGTGGACCCTGGTGCAGTGGCTCCTTCTCTCATGCACCCGCATCAGACTATGCGATCCGGGCTGGCTGGATCAGGCAGACGCGCCCTCTAATCAGGCACTGTAGAGGGCCGCCCGCAGTGGCCTTGGAGGAGCGAGCGGTCGCCCGATGACAGAGCCGGGTGCATGTGGGTAATATAAGATGCAAATATAAAATACAAATATGATAATAGTCAGGGCCAGTGCTAGACTATTTTGCCTCCAAGGCAAGACCTGCTACTTGCAAGCCGGCAGAGTGAGAGGAAGCCGCTGGTTGGGGCTGTGCCCAGGGCCAGATTAAGAGCATCATGGCCCTGGTGCTGAGCATCCCCTTAGCACTCAGCGCTGTTGGTCGGTCGGACGGGAAGCAGCTGAGGCGGCTCTCTAATTAGGTGGCCACTCACTCCACCGCTGTTGTCACCCACTGACCACAATGTACCCACTGCCGCTATAATCTGCTGACCACAATGTACCCACCACTGTTATCACCCACTGACTACATCTTAACCCCGTCACACACCACAACAACCCTGCAAAAAATAACACCTTCTGAGCCGATGCTTCAGGACCGCTACATATCACCCCCATTACTTCAGGACTGGCATAACACACCCCATACCGTCGGAACCTCATAAAACACTAATAACAACCCCCATACCAAAGGACTCCCGTAACACCCCCTTTATACTGTAGGACCCCAATAACAGTTCCCTCATACCTATGGACCCCAATAACACTCCCCTTATAACTAAGGATCCCAATAAGAAATAACACTCCCCTCATGCCTAAGTATCCCCATAAAACATCCCTCATGCCTAATGACCCCCATAAAACACCCTATATCTCTCAGGATCCCTATAGCACACCCCTCATACCTCAGGACCTCTGTAACACTTCCCTCATACCTCAGGACCTCCATAACACTCCCCACATAGTTCAGGTCCTCTATAACTCTCCCCTCATACCTCAGGACCCCTATAACACTCCCCACATAGCTCAGGTCCACCAGAACTCTCGCCGTGGGGTTCCCTTACAAAGTCATACCAGACCCTTTAGGTTTGGTAGGAATTTTAAGGGGGGCCCCACACCCAAAACCCAGGAAAAATAATTCCATCCCAGACCCTTAATACGAGCAGAAAAGGGGGGGTGGGGAGACAAGCGTTGCACCCCTCCTGCAGCATACCAGGCCACATGCCCCTGGGGATGGTGCTTTTTCAGAGGGGGACCCCCTGGAAAAGCACCTTGTCCCCATGTCGATGAATACATAGGCCTCTTCCTCACAACCCTGGCCCAGTGGTTGTGGGGGTCTGTGGGCAGGGGTGCTTATCTGCATCTGGGTAAGGGGTAGTTGTTACCCCTACTCATTCACCAAATAAAGAAATAGTAAATAAACACACCACACCTTGCAAAAGTCCTTTAATTGAACAAAAAACAAGACAAAAAAAACTGTGTCCATTGATGTAATTCAAAGGTTTAGTCAAAAAAATCAATTTTGTCCAATGATGTAGATCCTCGTCAATCATGATGAACGACGCCAATCGACGCCAATCGACTCGCCGAAATAAAAAAAGTGCAGCTGCCCGCCGCCCCGCCCGATGCCGCCGAACTCCTGTCGCAAAATGACAGGTCTGAGCCGAATGTAAACAAATAGGGAGCACGAGTCCCGTGACAGGAGACTGCTAAAGATCACTGCTATTACAAATTTACAAATGAGTGCCTTTAAAAAAGAATACTTTTACATTTGTGCTTCCTACAGCCCACTTAAATATTGCTTGTGCCACATTGGATATTTCTCTCAACAAAAGCCATTATCAAAACATAAAAGGACAAAAGAGATGGACAGCATAGAAAATAGTATGAACAGCAAAAACAATGAAATGAACCAAACCATTTACACATTGGAATCTGCTCTAAAGAATATTTTTTTCATTACTGGTTTGAGTAAACACCTAGATAAGGAAAAACCACACTACTGTCTGCAGGGTCTCTAAGGGCCAGGCAACGAGTGCCATAAGGCCACATGTGGCCCCCAATCTGCAGGCTGGGTACCAAGGTCTTCTTCAGCATTATTATGTTTTTAAATGTTTCCAGCCAGCATTGTTTATAAATGACAGTGACATCCTGGATTTAGTTTTGTGAAAAATGTATCATTATATAACCTGTAACTGCAAGTTGTAGAACTACCCCTTGAAATAAGCAGATATACTAATAAGAAGTAGTACAATGTAAGAAACTATTTTCTAACATTTTACAGCATTGAATTTCAGCAGCTATGGGATCATAATAAGGATGAACACAATCTGCCTTTCAGTGGTTTGTTTGTAGCAGTACATGTATATGCATAGTACTGCTCTCCATTGGTCTATTTGTAGCATTACATGTCTATACATAGTGCTGGCCTCCAGTGGTCTGTTTGTAGCATTACATGTATATGCACAGTGCTGCCCTCCAGTGGTCTATTTGTAGCATTTCATGCATATTCATAGTGCTGCCCTCCAGTGGTCTGCTTGTAGCATTACATGTATACGCATAGTGCTGCCCTCCAGTGGACTGTTTGTACATGTAGAGGCGTAGCATTTGGTGAGACATAAAACTGAACTGCAGGCAGATATGAAGAAAAAAAACCCAGTTAAATCATATTTTCTTTAAGAAAAAAAAGTATTTCCTGTAATCCCCAGGATTCAGACTGGGAAAGGGAGGGGCAGCACAAAAAGCCAACGAATGGTCAGCGTGGTGCCCTGAATTAAGGGTACTATGTGTTTATTACATTATACTCTAGGAAAATTAGCATTATTTACTGCTTTAGCTGGGGTGGTAGTAGTATTCATATTAAGCAAGCCTGGAGTCTTGCTTTAAAAATGTTTTGAGTAGATGTTTTTTTCTTTTAATGAAAGTGGTGGATGAGACCAGAAGTAAGTAATACATATTTATATACAGTATGAATATATCTCAGACTTTTGTCATAGCTAGTATAAATACAGTGTATATATATATACCAGGTTAAGCATCCTAAACCCTATGCCAATATAGATGTTAATGTTGCAACAGGAATCCAAAAGAACATTTAAATATGATATGAGGTTAGAATGTGGTGAACACTATAATTATAAGTAGTGTTCACAATATAACAGCGTAGAAAAGGCATGTTGTTTTTGCAAGATTCAACCTAGCATAAGGCCATATTTACGTTGAATCCTTGTGATTGAGGAAGAGATGCAGCAACAAAATACCCAATTTGATCAAAGCTATGTAGTCACCCCAGCGCCATCACTGGCAGGGTGTGGGGGATGCGGATCGCACCTGTGTGACACCTGCTAGGGGGTGACACCAGGGCACCACCATGTCCTGGTCCAGAGCCCTGGGTAACAGGGGACTATTTTATCACTTTTGGCGCTATTCCAACCCGTATGTAATAGTATCATATATGATTACACGTGGACTGCCGCTTACAGATGTGGCCACTGTCACCCGGTCATTAATTTGAACAAGTCTCATCTAAATGGCAGGAATCCGAAATTGCACATTCACATATAGTGTGAATGTAGCCTTAATAATATTTCCCCCCAAGACAACAATAATAATTCCCCCCTCCCACAGCAATAATAATCTTCCCCTAAGGCAGCAATAAAAAGTACTTTTTTTGGGTTGGGGTGGGGGGGAGGGGGACACCATGAGTTACCACACTGGGTGACACGAACCCTAGTGATGCCTCTGGGTCGCACCTCCAAATTACTGAGTTCAGGTGTTTCTAGTAAAGGGAAATGTTAGAAATACAGCATGTAGAGACATTGTGTACAGTTATGCTTTCCCAAATTGACAGTAGTTTGGGGAAGGCCCTTTTCTGTTCCAGCATGACTGTGCCCCTGTGTACAAAGCCAGCTCCATAAAGACATGGTTTGACCAATTTAATGGAAAGAAACCTAAGTGGTCTGCACTGAGTCCTCACCTCAACCCTACTGAACACCTTTGGGATGAACTGGGATGCAAGTTGTGAGACAGATCTTATCCTCCAACATCAGTACCTGACCTCACAAAATGGCATTTTGGCTGAATGGGCACAAGTTCCCACAGAACCCCTACAAAAGTTTGTGGAATACTTGGGAGGCGGTTGTAATCTTCATAAACCCTTGGCGCTATATATAAATCCTGTATAATAATTAGAGGTGCACCGAAATACAAATTTAAAAACGGAAACGAAACCGAAATAAAAAAGAAATGTCAGGCCGAAACCGAAACTGAAAATGTTTTTATTTTATTTTTACAAATTTTCCAAATATTTTATTTTTATTTATTATTTATAAACTTTTTACTTTTTTATACTTATTTTTATTTATTTATTAATTTTTTATTAAATATTTTTATTTTTTATTTTACTTTTAGGGGCTTCGAGGAAATATTAGGGGTCTAAACAGATCCCTGATATTTCCCTTTTAAAATAGAAAAACAGATTGAGAACAGAGTCCTCAATGTCTTTTTCTGTATCCCGTTATAAATGAACAGGAATCCTCTATACTAAGTGTTCCTGTTCATTCATAACTTGAGAACATAGTATGTTTACTATAACCACAATTATGAATGAACAGGAAGTGATGTAGATGACTTCCCATTCATACAAAATTGAGGATATAGTAACGATACTCTGTCCTCAATTATTTACAAACACTCAGCGATCACTGATCACTGAGTGTTTGTATCGCTCTCCTCTCTGACACGCTGTCACAGTAGGCTGAGCGAGTGGAGCTGGTAGGAGAACACAGCCTCCTGTGACAGCGCAGGCTGTCTCCGCCCCCACACCGCTCTGCCGGACTGTGATAGGCGGCTGAGCAGTGTGGAAGAAGAGAAACCAGCCACTCACAGCGCTCTCCTCCTCCAGCGCTCGGCTGGCTGTCACTTTCTCTCCTCCCCGCTGGGACACAGAGCAGCGCCCTGCGGGGAGGAAAGAAACCCGGGATGCGCCGATGTATCAGCAGGAAAATGGCACTTTCGGCATTTAGCCAAAAGTGCCATTTTCAGCCAATATGTTTCGGCAGCCAATATATCGGTGCATCCCTAATAATAATAATATAAGAAGAAGTCAGGGGCTCTGTTACCTCACCAGACTCCAGCTTAGGAGCCTCTGACAGACTCTGGTGAATGCTTCTATGTATTCTTAGAACTAGTGTATAACATGTCAACATTGTGGAAGCACAAGAAATAATTAAGTCTTACACTACCTACTTAACACAAAAGGCCTAATGTAACAACAGTAACTCCCAACCATTAATCAGATTAAACCCGGCCCTGTAAATTTACATCTTTTTGGCATTATTGCATCATTTCAACTTTTAGAAGCCGAGTCAGATATTAAACTTTCTTTCATAACCAGTCTCTTGTAAGTAGAAATCATGTCAGTGCAGGAAACTTTAATCCTTTCATTCCCAGGATCCTCTTCGAGCCACACAGACACTCCTCCTTATTCTATACAACCTTTCACACACACACACACATACAGCATACCTTTGACAAACATTGATCTGCTTTAGTGTGACTCAGCTTCAGCCATGGCAGACTGTCTTCATCCTACTCTGCTGATGAATGATGGCAACAAGATCCCAGTTATTGGGTTTGGGACGTACGCTCCAGAATATGTGAGTACACACAAGCATGCAGAACATTGGGATGTTTGGGGATTGTAGGAATCTATGCAATGCAAGATATGGAAACCTGGTTCTAATATGCGCCTTGTATGGTAATACACTGCAACAGTCTTTACTGAACAACTGTCAAAGGTGTATCAAAAATGTATCAGAAACTAAAGCCCACATAAGATAAACTAGTCCATGATAGATCTAAAAAAATAAAACACTCCATTAGGAAAGTCCCTTTTGCTGTGCAGCTGAGTGAGGTGCGCTCTAATTACTATAAAACATAAATAAACATTGCAGAGCTCAGCATAGTGTAGTAGATTCTTTCATGTAAACCAGTTAAAAACAGTAACAGTAAAACACTCACAAAAGAAAACCTGGTACCCTGATTATCCATTCACACTCGTGCACCTGCATTTTAATGTATTTTTAGTACATTTTTGTCATGCATTTTTCATACCATTTAGTGCATTTCTCATGTGTTTTCATGTGTTATGCATTTTTGTTTTAGACAATGAAGGTGAAATAAAGTATATGTTGCAAAGAGGTCTGGGCTTGATGTCATGCACTAAAACACACAAGAATGTATGTTACAGGTGTTTTTGAGCTCCCATTTAAGCCTACGGGGCCACAAATGCACTGTGTAGCACCAAAGAAGCACCAGAACCTTTCCAAAAGCCACACACTTCTGGCCATCGTTTTCGTAATCCATGCTCTTCTTTCTATCTCTGTGCCTCCTCTCTCCACCAACATGATGACAATCCAGCATGCTTCACCGGCTGCTAGGTATGCTGTGGGCTTCCAGTCCATAGGGGCACTAAACCAATTTTACATGGTATAGTGGTATATAGTGAGGTTTAGACATGTAAGCTGCGGAAAAATCCGGTCCGGATATTTTGTTATTTAGGAATTCGGATCTGAAATTCAATTTGGTTCGGGTTTTGGATTCGGGCGAAATCTGAATTTCGTTAATTTCGGATGAGTTTACGAATATTCATTGTGATTAAAACAGAAAACCATATACAGATATTAATACTAAAGCTGAATCTCCTAGACCCGAATGGCATTCGGGATCCTAATTTCCAAATTGTATTCTGGAGCTACCGAATGCCACATGGGTCTTTGAGCCTCAGCTTTAGAAATATATGTATATGGCCCTTAGACACGATTGGCATTCAGATTCTGAATTTCTGACTTGCATTCGGGTGCTCCCGAAGGCAATTCGGGTCTGGGAGCCATATACATATATTACTAAAAGCTGAGGCTCCCAGACCCGCATACCATTCAGGATCTGAATTTCCTAATTGAATTTGTAAATTCGGATCCCAAATGCCATTCGGGTCTTGGAGTCTCAGCTTTAGTATTATATGTATACTGTATACTGTATATGGCTCCCATGTTGCCGTAACACAAATTTGTGTTCAGACCCATTTGCATGTGAAGGGTTAACTCCAATATGAATTGACAACACCAGACTTGTGAAAAAATACTTTATTCATACACAAAACAAACATGCCGTTTTTGACAAATCCTTTTTTTTCGACGTTTTTTTTGGGATCTCAACAGTGGGGGGATACTTGATGCAGGATTTGAACCAGGGACATAGGTGTTGTGTGGCAGGTCCTCTAACCGCTCAGCCACTGGGCTTCCCTTTGATGTTGGTTGTTGCACATCCCTATTGAATCCTCACCATTTTAACACGCCATGCGCGCGCGTTGGTAGTATTTATCAAGCATCTGTATAACCTGCATACGATTCCGCGCCAAGCGTATACGCGCGTGCGCGCGCGCGCAGTTGGCGTGTTTTTGCATGGCGTGTTTGTGGCGTGTTTGTGAGGTTAGTAAATCAACCCCTGTGTATTCATTCCAGAGACAAGGCAGTCTGCTGCAAAACAGAAGTTCTGCAGAGCATGAGAACAGATACAGATTTAAAAGGAAGAGCAGCAAAGAGAAGGGATACTACCATGGATTACAGTAAGGCACACATTACAGTATTGTTTTATGTTAAAAAATTTGAGGGTTTAATGTCACTTTAAACCAAAAAGCACATCTGATTGGCTAGAAAAGTCACATGTCCAATTCAGTTTCGTTTCTGAATGAAATTCGGACAGGATCCGAAATTCGGAAGCGGAAATTCGGATTCAGGCTCCAAACCTGAACTCATCCGAAAATGGAAACTACATGGGCCTCTCGCCCAATCAGCTGACCATAAACAAAGGGGCGGGATGCTTGTGCTGATATAATTTACCTTATATAGCCATATTAGGCCAATAGCGTCACTGCACCCCACCCCTTTGCCAAGCTGGATGCAATTACACGACTGCAATGCGTTTTCTGTAGGCGGATCAGGTAAGTGATAGTTTTTGATTGGATGCTACAGTTTATACTGGGTTACTGAACACTCTTCTTTGAGTTTCTCCTATTCCTCTCTCAGGTAATCACTTTGAAGCTGACCATACACCTTACATTCTGATTGCATCGCCATCAATAACATACAACTATAAAGCACAGCAATTTGCTATACAAATGTGCTCTCCGCTTCACCAGCCTCCGGACTCTGAAGCCTGGGGCCTTGGTTAGAGCCAGGTCCTGGCAGAGACCTGCGGCTTCTCTGTGCAAGCATGATTTCCCCCACATACACATGTGTAGATGTACCATAGGTTTCTGACAGATGTATGGGACCTGGCAGTGACCCACAGCATGTCTGCACATGGGCAGACTTCTTGCTTGTGCATACATGCTATGGGTCTATACCAGGCACTCGGCAGAGACTCACATCATTTATATGCACCTGCGCAAAATCTTACAAACTTCCTCCGAGTATGTGTCACATAGACATCCCAGAAAGCAGTGGGGCCAGACTACGTCATTCTCATCTAGGCAAGGACTTAAGAAATGTCCCCCAAAATAATGGAAAAAAAAGTTTTTTACTATTTTAATGTTCTTTTTCTGCATTTGTGTAAGAGGGAGGGGGAAGGGGGTTAGGTGACTGAAAGTTATTTGTCTGGGTCAAGGTGCACGTTAACCTTTTTTCTCATTATTGCAGAGTTTAACTTATCTGCAGAAACTCACGTGGTTTAGAATGACTTGCTTATTTTACACAATTAGAAGATTTTCCTTTTATACAGAAACTGTGTTTACTTTATCAGCCCTGAACCCTGTGCTCTACGGCAATCCAGTCTATCCACATTCCAGCCCCTGAGATGTTAGCTGATGCTTTTCACACCAAATGTTATATTTCCTATCCCGAGTCTTGAGCAAGGTAAAGGTTGTCAGGCAGTCATTAAAAGAAATGAGCAGGCCACTATTGCATATAAGAGCTCCAGTAGGTCTTGTATCTGGTCTATAGGTCACAGATCCCTTAGGGGTTTTTTTATGAATCCCCCACCCAGCTGTATGCTGGGTGAATGCAGTTCACATGGCATTTCCACCACTAGATGGAGTCGAGGAGCATGGAAATGCTCCCTTGTGCCATCTAGTGGCAGGAAATCTCTGCAAAAGACATTTGTCTAGCATATAGCTGGGTGCGGGGATTCATAAAAAGACCCTTTAATCTGATCTTGTCAGCTAATCACTAAACTTAAAGCTTAAAGTGTAACTCCGCTTTGTTGAGAAAAATAATCCCCTCTGGGTAGTCTATGTATGTTGCAAGGATTTTAGCAACCTGCGTTGCAGTTTCCAACCTTTTTCTGTTTTAAAGAGGTTTATGTTCTTCTCCCTCCTATACTGATTCCTATTTGGAAGGGTCAGCCTTCAGTATAACCATCTGAACTAATCTCAGTCATCTAATGAGGAAAGTTGCAGTTTCTGCATCACTTTTGTAGTCAAACTATAATGCATCTGGGATTTAGAGTCCTGCAATGCTTCATGGGACTTCCACAAAAGCTGGAGTGTCAAGGTTGCCTACCCTTGCCCTACCCCATGGACCCCAACATAACATAATTCAGTCTCTGATTTAATCTCTTTCCCAGAAATGAACCCCTAAAGAAGTAAGCCTTAAACTATAGAAGCAGAGCTAACAGTCCACTATCCCACTCGCAACTAATCGCCTATCCCTGATTCCTTTAACAGACTGAAAGCCGAACTTTGGTTACTATGGAGTACTGATCAGCTCTCTGTTGCCCTGTTAATAAATAAAGATTTTGTATATAAAATTCTTTGATATAAAAACTTTACCCATTGTCTTCTTCTGATCTTTATATGAGAGAAAGGAGTGATGCTCAATTGTATGTGTGAGGGTTTGCCAGTTGCTTCCACAGCTGTAGCGACCAATATCTGCCACAAGATGGCGATAAAGTTTCTTTAGTGGAAGCTGGGTGTTCTATCATGGCGTAAGCACAAAATTCCCCATGTTCATAACGCTTCTTCCTCCCATTCATGCTTATCTAATGATATTATTTAAAAACAAAAAAAGAAATGTGCAAGCTTAAAAATTTAAAAACAGAATTCATTGGTACTGAACTAACAACAATTTTGTGAAATCTGTTCAGCTAACCTACCCAAGAAGCTAGGAATGCGACCGAGTACCAAAACTTTTCCTCAGGGCCTCGCCAATACCAATTACCAATACCTTTTGTAGTGTCATGTGAAATTTTTTCTAAAACAATACAGACTAATGATTTTAGGACAGTGATGGAGCGCCAGGGCCCAGTTGCAGATGCAACTGCTGCAACCCTGGTAGTTCTGCCACTGACTGCAAGCTGTAGAGGGGCTACAAATCTCAGCAATACATTATCCAGCTGTGCAGAATACCACCAGCTAGAGAGGACTACAAATTCCAGCAATACATTATACAGCAATGCAGAACAAGCTACATATGCTGTGTTGCTCCCCAGGGCTGTGCCGGGTCTCAGAAGAATGTGCAGCGTCTCCCCTGGGCTGTGTGCAGGTCTCATCACAGCTGTGTGCAATCTTACCAGGGCAGTGTGCTGTCTCACCTGGGCTGTGTGGGGTCTCACCAGGGCTGTGCGGTCTCACCAAGGCTGTGTGCGGTCACACCAGGGCTGTGCGGGTCTCACTATGACTGTCCAGTCTCACCAGTGCTCTGCAGGACTAACCATGGCTGTGCAGTCTCACCAGGGCTGCATGCCAGTCTCATCATGGCTGCGAGGGCGAGCACAGGCAGCAGGAAGGAGGAGGAGGAAGAGATGTGCAGTGTGAACAGCCACCGCAAGGTCCCCAGCAGGTTGTCGTGAGTTACCCAGCCAATGTGGGACCTTACAGCAGCCTCCTGCATTGAAAAATGTAAAGTGCCTGAGCGACGCTTAGTATCGGAGCATTGACACAAGTAAGAGAACTCGTGAAAGTGCCCAGTATCAGCACCAATGCCCATACTGGTATCGGTGCATCCTTACCAGAAGCATTTGTTTTTTTGTTTGTTTTTTTATTTATCTATCTTTTTTCCCCGCTGGGCATATATATAAAACGTTGGATCTTTTGGTTGACTGCTTTGTTTTTACAAGTCTGATTATACTGCATTTATGTGAAAAGCCTGAAATTCAAATATCATTCAATAGCATGAGCTCAGATTACATAACTGAGATGATGGATACTTCCTCCTCCTTCGGCTCTACATATACGTCTCTTCACATAGGGGGTTTATTTATAAAATGTCCGCCCAGTGTTTTAAAATTAAAACCTCCTATTTGGTGAAACAGATGTCAGCAAAACAGGAAGTTAGGGAAAATCTTGATAACGGAGCTCAATGATTTCAGTAAAATCGAACAGGATTTCTAATCCTTCCGCACTCTACCCAAGTCAGAAAAAAAAAGTTCTTGGTGCTTCACATATACAATTTTATATATATATACCAATGAATGGGAATAAAATGTATATACCAATGAATGGGAATAAAATGTATTTTACTAATCAATGTGTAGTGATACTGAGTAACATATGGCTGCTTGCGCTCTAGATCCCGGTTTCCCTCAGTGAAGAAGCCACTGAAGTTGCCATTGAGGTTGGCTACCGCCACATAGATGGAGCACACTTGTATCAGAATGAGAAAGAGGTGGGTCGTGCCATCCAGAAGAAGATCGCTGATGGGACCGTGAAAAGGGAAGATCTCTTTTACACAGGAAAGGTGAGGATGTTCTTCTCTGGCTTAGAGGGCAGTGTTGGTCTCCTGGTTCCAATGACTGGTAGATACCATACCAATAGGCTTATTAGCATTTACCCAAACTGGCCTACCTGTGCACACCTGTATAACTGTAGTAGGACATGTAGCTTCTCATCTGTCCTGAGTGAGCCTGATGTAAATTCCTGTACAGCGGAGCTCAGAGAGGGGGAGGCAGAAGAAGAACAAGAGCCTAGACTGTTCATGTGCTGAAAATAAGCTTGTTGATAGGAGAAAAGAGCATGGTGAGAGAGGTGAGCTAATCAGTCTGCTGTTTTCTCTTCACTGCCCAGTCACAGGGTGGGGAGGAGACCTGTAATTTTGCCTTAAATGCAGAGAAAAATCAGTTCTCCTGTCCTCGCAGATAGGGCTATGCTATGAGGCAGAGCTGTGTGAATCTCAGGACTGGGTGGGCAGAAATACAAAACGGTTGACAGCAAAACAGCTCTCTTATATGTATTTGCTCTGTGTATTTTGCTGTTTCCCTGGATTTCAGCTTTATACTTCCTGCATGTTTCCCATTGCATGACAATACCGATATTATTTATCACAATACGTTGAAGAACCAGTAAAAATGTCACAATTATAAATGTTGACACCTACATCCCTGTATGGAGATATCTGATACTTGTACATTTCTGGAATGCGCTCTATTGCTTGATGTTAGCTTTTATCTTTTCATCCATTAAAATATCCATCAAAAACAGGACAGGAAAGAGCTGAGCATTGAAAAATATCTCCCCCCACAATGCCAGATATACAATGATGGAAGCAACATTGTCTTTTAACCAAGTTTTATTGGGATGTTACAAAACCATTGCTAACATTTCCTCATTTCACTTTCCCCTTCCAACCTCCCGAAGGTGATGGATTAGGTGGCCCCTCGTTTACTGGCAAACTTCAGGATGTTTTTGGATTCGAAGTAACAAACACATATGGTTGGATTAAGTGATTTATGTCTCAAGGGGCAATAAAAAAAAAAAAATCAGATTTGACTGTTTGCAATAATTGCAGCAATACTGAAGCCAATGTATTAATACTAGGTCAGATATCTGGAACGTAACAGGACAGTCAGGTCCAATTTGTGTCCCTCCAGAGGTGGTCAATTGAGATGTGGGGCCTCCTAATGGAACTAATTCTGAGTAATTCTATTTCCTGTTTTGACTCATATCCCCCATACAGTGGTCAATATTCACCAGCAACATTTCTGATTGTTACAAAGCAAATATTAGCAAAGTAATTGACCCATCAATTTAACTACCTCCCAAAACAGTTACTTTTAAAGCAGAACGACACCCTCTTATCCTCCATCTTGGCCTCTATTGGAGTTGCAGTTGCCATAGTGCTGCACATGATTGGCTATGACACCAGCCATTTGAGGGCTTCAGAGTTCGGTTGAGAGCTGAAATAAGTAGATGTTCATGGCCGAAGATTTTGTTTCATTTGTGTTTCAATTGTTTGTTTGTTTTCTGAAACCCGGATCCGTCTGTTATTCATTATTCAGAATTTGAGTCTGTTTGGATGGAGTTAAGTGTAAAAAAAAAAACAGTGAGGTGTCCCCCCCCCCCCAAATTCATACTAGACACTTTAGATGGAGCAAGTCTACAGAGATGTACTTGCTCCGCCCCTTTGTTTACATTCAAGAGCAGAGCTGTCAATAGTGGCAAGTGAGGATGAGGTGGCGGGCTAGGGCGATTTTTTTCTTTCGTTGGCTGCATCATGATTGACGAGGATCTACATCGCTGGATAACGTGATTGACAATGGACTTTTTTTGGGGGTAGGGGTTATTAATAAAGGACTTTTTCTTCAAAACTGTGTGGTGTGTTTATTTACTAACTTAATGTTTATTTAGTGAATCAGTAGGGGTAACAACTACCTCTTATTCTTATAAGAGGGGGGCGGCATCTGGGTGCCCCCCTTATGAATAAATTAAGCCTCCTTTCAGATAAGCCCCCCTGCCCGCAGGCCTCCACAACCACTGGGTTGAGGGGAATATCAACATGGGGACCCTGCCTGTTAATGGATTTTGGGGTGGACACCATGCTTTTTTGGGGGGGGGCATGGTGTCCTCGCAAAAATTCCTACAAGACTTAAAGAGTCTGGTATGAATTTGGAGGGGACCTGACACTGGTTTTTTTTTTGGCATAGGGTCCCCCATAAAATTCCTGCCAGGCCTAAAGAGTCTGCTAGGAAATTTGTGGGGGGCACCACACTACATAGTTACATAGTCAGGTTGAAAAAAGACACCGCTGTTTTTTTCCAATTTTCATGTTTAGCAAAATATCAGTTCATTCTGAATTACATTTGGACAAAATCCAGATTCATGCAAATTTTTGTTATCAAAAATTTGGATACGTTCAAACTCATTATTTTTCCCATTTTGAAATTCTGATGCATCAAAATTTCGGACTTTGCCTAATAAAGGGGGCACCGAGATCCCACTCCCCCCTTGTGAATGAATAAGGGGTAATTGTTACCCCTGCTCATTCACCAAATACAGTAAAATGTAAATAAACATACCACACCATAAAATGTCCTTTATTTGAAAAAACAAAAAGGTTTTTGACAAGCCTTTTATTAAAAAAAAGAAAAGAAAAGTCCATCGATGTAATCCCAAGGTGAATCACGTTGTCCAGTGATGTAGATCCACATCAATCACGATGCACAACGGTCGCCGAAAGAAAATAAATCCCGGCGGCCGCCAACACATCCAATCCCGATGAACACTACCACAAAAAGACAGCTCTAACCCAAATGTAAACATAGGGTTTGATTACATTGTATTAGGGGACAGAGAGCAGTCACTGAATGTAAACAAAGGGGTGGAGCAAGTCCCATGACATCACGACTCGTTCCTCACCCTTGTTTACATTCGGGAGCAGAGCTGTAATTTTGCGGACGGTGCCCATCGGTATCGGATGTGTCGGTGGCCGCCCTGAATCTTACATGTCTACCATCAGGCTGAAGACATCAAGTGGCAGAGTAACTGTGGGGGACATCTCTGGTTTTAGTGTGAATGCTGCAAGAAAAGCGGTTTTTATCTTACTTTTTAATGGGTTATTCATTTATATCTCCTATACTATTTGGTGCAGAGAGTGAACGAATTTAATCTTTTCATTGATTTTTTAGTTATGGTCCACGTTTCACTCACCAGAGCTGGTAGAACCTAATGTGAAGCATTCACTGGAAACCCTCCAACTGGATTATATGGACCTCTTCCTCATCCACTGGCCCTTTTCACTTAAGGTAAGAATCTGCATTTATCAGCATATAACCACGTACATGCTGCTCTTTTATGGTTATAGTTCTAGCTGTACCCCTGTGCTTTGGATCAGGCCCAGCTTGATTCTGTGGCAACTGCTATCATTACACTTTGCATATAAGTGTTAATCAACCTAATCCATCCCAGCTGGCTCAATAATCCCAAAGTGACTACGACTTACATATTTTTAATCCGTCCCCCAAGATGAGTTCAGGTACCTGAAATACAACATAGGAACATTGTCATACAGAGCAAGGAAATGTGGCACTTGTATGCCAGGAAGCCCAACTGTGAATATGTTCCAATATTCTAAATGTGTTCCTCCCTGAGATAGACATGTATAGATAGATACAAGGTGAGCCATCCCAGGAAAATAAAAGCAATAATTAAATTGCACTTTTATATCTAGAAACTAATTTGCAATGTTTTAAAAGAGATCTATAAAAATGTATTGCTGTGTTAGTGATGTATTCCTTTGAAGAAATAGCACATCTCAGTCTTGGTCAGAGTCATGTATTAAAGTTGAAGCTTAATCTTCCTATATATTGGAATATTCCCTGGTCCCTCCTTGTTCCCCCTCATCTATGCGACAATGCAATGTTTAAATCAAATCTTTCTACTTTCATGACATAGCCTGTTAGACTCAGTGATGTAATCACTTGGTCTCTGTGCTTCCCTATGAATTGCAGGTTGGTAGGATGGGCCGGCTCTGACAGTAATAAGATCTAGGCATCTTCATCTTATTGAGCTTATTGCAATTCATCGCTTCAAGATATAATCAAATCAGATCATTCATCAAACAGGAGTTCTGTTTAAGAGAGCCTTCAAAGTTTCAATCTGCTCATCAAACATGTGTCTGTTTAATAATATAATATAATAAATATATATTTTTATAACCCACCGCTTTGGAAGTTGTCAATTGATGCCTAAAAAACCCCAGCTTTCCTTTCCTTTTTTTTGACATTTCAAAAGCTAAATCAGCTTAGAGTTCTTTTTTAGTGTCTTTTAAACTCTTCATAAACCCTTCATAGTACTGGCAACTCAGAAACAGCTCATCATATTAAATAGAAATAAGCCCTTTGGCTCGGGGGACTTTCTGGTAGCTTGCCACTTGGAGCAAAGGTTCGGGTTGCACTCCAATAGCTGATACTTGCTGGTGGTGTCCTGGAAATGTGCATGATTTGACAAACTGTTCTCGTTCTATAGCCCGGAGGAGATCTGATCCCCATGGATGAAAATGGAAAACCTCAACTCGATACCACAACAGACCTGTGCGCTTTATGGGAGGTAAGCGATGGCGTTTGATTGGTTTGGCTAGAACAATGTTAATTGGTAACAGATATTGAGTTCAATACAAAATGCTGTTTTCAGTTTATGCAATCTCACAAACAGACTGAAATATGTCTTTTTGTCTAATTTTTTTCTGGTGCTTTTGGAAAGTTCTTTTAATATATTTGCATGGAGATGTACCTTATTATGACAGTTCTCTGCTGCTTAGAGTAGACCTTTTTGTAAATTTACAAGTTCCCGTGAATAAATCTCGGACAGGTTACACATACAAGAACATATTTTTTCAGAAATGCTTCAGATTTTACCATTACTATACTTTTCTTAAGTTTTTCTTTCCAGTTCAGTGACTTTGCCTAGGCCAAGATAATGCATCAGTCTGCGGCATGCAGGAGGAAGCATTTTCTCAGCCCAGTGATCAAACTGCAACATTGTAATTTTGTAGCAAAGTCCAAAAGTGAACATTCCCATTGTTCATTTCACCACTATGCTTCTGCCACCTACAGGCCATAGAGAAGTGTAAGGACGCTGGGCTGGTAAAATCTATTGGAGTCTCCAACTTTAACCGTCGGCAGCTGGAGAAGATTTTCAACAAGCCTGGACTGAAGTATAAGCCAGTGTGCAACCAGGTAACTAAAAGTTATATTATTAAAGATCATAACTACATGCAAATACTGCAATCCATTGAGGAACACAGGAATTCAGATACAGATTAATTTTACTGCGGCCTACAGTAGGTTTGGACACTGGTAAACAGAAAATATGTAAGCCGGCTTTGCATTACCCCTCCTCTATCATTGCTAGAGCGAAAAGGCACAGATTCCAATAAAAAGTACAAATATCTTATTTTCTTTTACGTCCATTGAGGGACACAACAATTTAGATACAGTCAGTATGTCCAAAATCAGTCCACTTGAGGGGCGGGCAACAGTTACTGATAGGCCTTTAGGAAGGGACTAGAATTGTCTGTAAGTCAGAACCAACAAAACAAGCAATTCCTGAATCTGAAGAGGAGAATCCCCCTTAAGAAAGGGAAAGCTGTGAATGACCAAAGAGAGGTGATGAGAATCAAACTTACACTCAGGAGGGAATGACTCCACCCAAAGGAAACCTGAACCTAAACCAACGAGAGACTTTAAATCAACAATCCACAGAAACAGGTGGACTAACATAACTACTGTACTAAGGAAAAAGCAGATCAAAACATGATATGGTCAATAAAAAAGGGGTAAATTCCCAGGTGGACAGGCCCCCAGAGGGACCAGCTGGACTACACAGAAAGGTTCAAACTTTACACTCCCCACCCTGAAGATTCAGGAACAACCCAAATTAATTGCAAAGTGATTTCTCAGACCAGTAGAGGTCTCTAGGTATGGTCAAGAAAGGTTGACTATAGGGGGTAGGGTACACAAAAGGCATGCCAACAAGGTGGACAGGGAGAAAGGTAGACCCCAGGCTGGTGAAAAAAAGCAGCAGGAGTGTCTCCGACAAATGAAATCTGCAGGACATGCCTAACACTCAGCTCAGAATATGGTTCTAAGAATCTGCAGATCCACCTGGGTCCAGCAAATCATCAATAGCCATTGAGAAGAAAACTAAGCTGCACTGCTAAGCACATTCATCTGATTAAAGGCAGAACAAGTGTGGGCAACTGGGGTACCTTCCTCACCAGGCTGCAGAACAGCCATAGAAGAAGGGCCTACATCCAGACAATCAGAACAAAAAAAAGTTCTCAAGCAGGAAGTCCCTGCAACAGGTACCCAGTTTGTTCTGTCTGCTGATAGTCCAGGGGGGCACATAGTTATCCAGAGCTGGTTTCTGCCAGCCAAACAGAATAGGGTGTACAAAAAGTGTGCAGACTTCTCAAAGTGCAGAGAGTACTGGATAAGGAGAGTCTGATTGCAAAGTTTTGTCTTTGGGGGGGCAGTGGTTCCTATAGTACAACAGGGGGCAAGTGGTGAGGTGTGTGTCAGAGAGGAGCTTTGTAACTTCCTCTGTGGTGACAGGGACAAAAGAGGAAAGTAACAAGTGTGAGGGAGGGTCTGGTACATTAATAGGGGAAGTTGATTGGACAGTGGCGATCTGATCCCGAATTGTAACTATTTTGTTTTTGAAATGAGTGGCGATGTCCTGGGCAGTGAGTGAGCTAGTGGGTGGTGGTGGTGGTGGTGGTGGAGGACATAGTAGAAAGTTGAAGGTAGAAAAGAGTTGACGAGGTCTGGATGAGAGTGTGTTCATGAGAGTTACAAAATAAGTTTGTTTGGCAGCACGGAGGGAGGAATTATATTTTACCAGGGCAGCTTTGTACAAGGTGAAGTCTTGCAGCGACCCAGTTTTCCGCCACAATCGCTCAAGAGTGCGGCTTTGTCTTTTTTGATGTCTGGTAACTTCAGTTTGCCACGGTTGTAGCGGACGTGGTCTAAGTCTGCGTGTTGTGAAGGGGGCCAAAGTGTCTAGAGAGGATGAGAGTGAGCTGTTAAAAACAGAAGTAGCCAGGTCAGGGCAGGGGTGAGATAGAGATCTTGTCATAGAGGGAGTCAGTAGCAGAGTGGAGAAGAGAAGGGTCAAGGTGGCGGAGGTTTCTCCAGGTGACAGTGTGTGGTGTAGTGGGAGTCCGTGTTGGGGATAGAGTGAGGGTGAAACTGACCAGGTTGTGATCTGAGAGCGGGAAAGGGGTGTTGGAGAGGTTGCAAGGAGTGCATAGGTGGGAGAAAATATATATATGTATATATATATATACACATACATACACACTTTTTTTTATAAGTGTGCATTTAATATTTTTATGCCAAAAGTGGAATTTCCCTTTGGTGTTCAAGAGGAAAAAATCCAAAAAAACGTCCTCCTTGACACAAGCAAGGCATGATAAAGGGTTATACGGAAGCTGATTTACGATTTGGTTTTCTATTTGCCAGTGTCCAAACCTCCTGTAGGTGTTAGTATAATCTGACTAAGTCTTAGGTGTCAAAAGTGTGCTAACAAAAGATTATTGTTATCCACGGCAAACAATTGAAATTCTCAAATTTTCAACTCTGTACTGCAGAAATGACAGGTGGAAGCTATGTGATTAATGTTAGCCATTAGCAATGTTCTTGCTTCAGGATCTCCCCGTGTTGTTGTGCACAATTCAAGGCTTAGTCCAGATTTGTTAGTGAAGTTCTAAGTACATTGCTCCAGGTTTTTTTTTTTTTAGTGTCTGCTACTTTTTCCCTGAAGGGCTTTAGAGGCCAGATGTTGGCTCTTGAGCTCCAAGCTCCACCCATCTGTCATAGTTCTTATAAAGAAGTTCTCATTCTTACAAGTAGTTTTACTGTCTCTTATGCACCACAAAATTTAGTTAGGAGATTTTGATGGAAACACCCTTTTAAACTGAAAATTAATTTGGGTTTTAAGTGTTCCAGCTAACTCTCTCATTGTTTTGCAGGTTGAATGTCAACCATACCTGAATCAGAGCAAATTGTTGGAGTTCTGCAAGTCACATGACATCTTGCTTACTGCGTACAGTGTCCTGGGCTCACACAGACACAAGGATTGGTATAACCTGGTGGGAAGGGGGTGCCACAGATATTCATGTTAGTGGTCACATCATTCCTTGTCTCCAAGGAGATTACACACAGGTGGAGTTGTCAGCTTGGGTAGAAATGTTGGAGGGTAACAAGTTAGTGGTGTATGGTGTACGCTGCATCAAAAATCAGGCGTGAATAATTTAATAAAGGGGTGTGGCTTATTACAAATACACACTTTGACAGATGGCCTGCTACACTCTATATTATGTATAGAGCTCTCACACTTATAGAGGAGCTCCAATGAAAACATCTGGAGAGTCGCTCTCCCAATGTAATCAGCAGGGATTGTCTGTCAATTTGAAAACTTGGTCCTGCATCTACCAGGAAATTCCAAGCAACACCTGGTCAATGCAGGAGCAAAAGAGGCTCCAGCCCCAGCTGTGCACTCCCGAGGTGGGAGCTTCTATTGCCTCTGCATTGGCCTTGCACAGGAATCTCTGGCAGATGCAGAGAATCTTCTGAGACTCCACTAGCTTTGATTAAAATAACGGGAGAGGACCCTCAAAACTCAGTGTCTCCTGAAATACCTGGAGTAGTTGACAGCACTGGAGTATAGGGTTGGGGCAAGTGGTAGCTGGTGGTATGCCGGAAGGGCAGGAGGTGCCAGGATCAGAGGAGAGGAAGACAGCAAGTGCTGGGGTGTCAAACATGGGGAAAGCAGGAGGTACAATAGTGGGAAAGTGTGCGGGGGCTTGCGATGGAGTTGCGGG